CCTTGTTCTGGGTACAAAAATATAAAATACTGCTCGTTGACTAGAACAAAAAAGGGGAGAGAATGTATTACCTAGAGTTATCCACTCCAAATGTTTTTCCTTTAAGGTCAAACTCCCCGGGGGGGGGATGGGGGTATTTAAATTTATTTCCCATATTAATATAATTTCCCCCCAGGGGCGGGGCAAAGCGCTGGGCCCTCCTTGCTATCGCAGGTTGTTATTGATAAATACCTTTTGTTGTGGGTACAAAAATATATAATATAAATAATTATTATAATTATTTATATATATATATATTTTAAAAATTATATATATATTAAAAATTTCTTTCTTTCAACAACCGGGCCGTACCCCCCAAGGTGGGGTGGCCCAAAAGGGAAAAACGAAAGTTCCCCCTTTTTAAAATTTTAATAATATGTTCGGGAAAGGGGGGGATTACTCCCCTTTGCCCCCGGGCATTTTATCCCCTTTTATGCCCGCATGCCTTTCGGAGGAGAATTCTTTTCCACCCCCCAATATATATTATATATATATTATATATAAAATTTATATAATTAAAATTATATATATATATATTATATATATATATATAAATTTTTTAATAAATATAATATTTATTATCACATGGCCGTTCCCCCCAAGGGCAGGGTGGCCGGAAAAAAAAAACTTTCACCATCATTCACTCCATCACTGTCTTGCCAAAAGGGGGTGTTTTACACTACATTTTTTAAAACTGCAAATTGACACCCCTCCTTCAAGGCGGGCACTGTACTTCCCATCCCCAGACTCAGTCCGGCCCCCGTTTCCCAACCCCTTTATAAAGTTACTTTGTACACTCCAACAGCACGTCAGTATTAAAAACCATTTTTCCCATTTATCCTTCAAACACGCTCCCATGCCCTTTTGGAAAACGAAGCCCCCGCCACAAAACCTCCTTTACCCCCCCCCTCCAACCTTTTCCAGGCCCACCCCCACCCCCCTTCCCTTCCACTACAGACTGATACACCTTGAATTATTTTTTTTCGTTCCATTCTCTCCACATGTCCGAACCCCCTCAAAAAACCCTTCCTCCGCCCTCTGGACAACAGTTTTTGTAATCCCCCACCTCCTCCTAAATTCCAAAATACAATTCTCGCAATTATATTCCCCACACATTGCTCTCAGCATGACATCCCACGCCTCCCGCCTTCCCCCTGCTGCAACTTTTTTCACCCATGCTTCCAAAACCCCTATAGAGCGTTTGGGAAAACTATCCTCATACATTCCCCCTTTGCCCCAAGGGCAAAGTTTTTTGGGCCCACAGCTCCTAAGTGCCCACCACCCTTTTTCCCCCCATCAATTCTAATTCCCCATCTTTTATAACCCATCCCCTGAAAATGTCAACTCCCAAATATCTGAATACATTCACCCCCTCCTATCTCCCCTCCAATCTGTATCCAAACTTTTATCACCTAAAACTTTTTTTTTATCCTCTAACCTTCCTTTCCCGTATTCCTTCAAATTTTTTTCTTTTGCACACCCTACCAAAATTTACCCCCAATCTCTACAACTCTCTTTAGAATCTCCCAAACACAGTACATCACAAAAAAGCAACTGTGACAACTCCCACTTTATGTGTGATTTTTTTCTTTTAACCCACGCCTCTTGCCAAGACCCCCGCATTTTCTTCCTTACAACCCCATTATAAATTATTTAAAAAACCACGGGGACATCACACTCCTTGCTAAGGCCCACTTTTATGGAAAAAATTCCCCTTTCTACATACTCTAACTTGAGCCCCCTATTTTTCCCTAAAAATTTCAGCTTTCATAACCTACCTCTACACCATACCCTGCAAAATCTGCCACATTGCCCCCCCATCCCCCCTGTATACCCTTTTCCCCAAAACCTAAATGCCCCAAAGACCTCTTTAGCCTTAATCTAAATACTGTTCATTATATTTTCACTGTAACCCTGGTCCCCACACCCCCCACCTTTCCCAAAGCCTCCTTGTTCTCGCATCCATTTCCGTCTTACTTTAATTTTTTCAAAAAACCTACCCTACACTTTGCCGGTAAACCAACAACTTTTCCCCCCATAATTTTGCCTCTCTTTTATCCCCTTTTCCTTTATACAAAGGGAAATATGCTCTCTCGCCAAACCCTAGGTACCTTACCCTCTTTCCCTACATTTTTTAAATAATTGCACCAAACCCCCCCCCAAAACTATATCCCACCCCCGCTTTTTAAAATTTTTATTTTATCCCTCAATCCCGGCTGCTTACCCCCTTCATTTTAACCCACGCCTCAAGAACTTCCCCCACACTCACAATGGCTCTTCCCCACCCTACAAGATGTTGTTCCTCCTTGCCCTATACACGAAATACAGCTTCCCTATCTTCATCAAAATTTAACAAATTCCCCAAAAAATTCCCTCCATCTTCCCCCTACCTCTAACTCTCCATTTAATAACTCTCCCCCTCCTTTTTTAACTGACAAATCCATTTGTTCCTAGGCTTTCTTAAATTGTTAATCCCCCCCCAAAACTTTTTCTTTTTTTCAAAAAAATTTGTTGTAACACTCACCCACTCTCCCCATTCGCTCTCTTTTTTCATTGCTTAAACCCCTCTCTAACCTCTTTTTTTTCTCCATATACCTTCCCCCCCTTGCATCACTTCTCTTTGTAAAAACTTTTCAAGCTATCTTTTCTCCCCATATTCTTCACATTATCATTTTCCCCCAAAACGCTCCCCCTTCCCTCCCGCACCCACTTCCTGTAACCACAAACCCTTTTTTCTGAACACTCTAACACTACTTTTTAAACCCACCCCCCTACTCTTCGACCCCATTGCCCTATGCTTCATTAGCCCTCTATCCTCCAATAGCTGTTTATATCTTACCCTAACTGCCCCCCTCTTTTAGTTTATAAACCTTTACCTCTCTCTTCCCTGAGCTTCATTTCCTTGTATCCCATTACCTTTTTCTCTCTGTACTACAACTAGAAAGTGATCTGAATTTTTCTGTGGCCCCTCTATAAAAATGTACCCTGAAGTCTACTCAACATCTTTTTTCTACCAAACATAATCCAAAAAACTATGTCATTTCGCCTACATCATATCTTGTATATTATTTTTTCCTCTTTTTTTAAAAAATGTATTACCATAACTAAACCCCCCTTTTTATACAAAGTTCAATCAAAGGGGGTCCCTTTTTCTTTAAACCCGGCCCCCAAACTTACCTACCCCACCCTCTCTAAAAGTTTTTTTCCACTTTAGCATTCAGGCCCTACCACAAAACTTCCACTTGGGTTTAAAGGTTCCTAACATTCACTTAACATCTCCCCAAAAACTCTCTCTCTCCTCTGATTCCTCTTTTTCCAGGGGGCATACACCTTATTATGACCCACTTCTCGCATCCCAACCTTTTTCTTTAAAACCACATAATTTTTTGCATTTTACACATTCAATTCCCCTTTTTTTCCTTCCATAACTGATCTTTTAACTTTCTGCTACCCCTTCCTTTTCTCTAACCCTCTCAGATCTCCAGATTTTAAACCCCTTTATTTCCCCCCACCGAAACTCCCCCACCCCTTCACTTTGTTTCGCTTGGGCCGGCATCCCTTCTTTTCATTCTAAAATCACAAACATCTGTTTCTTGTCATCCGCACTCTCCCCGCACATTTTAAACTCCCCGTTTTTTAAAATTTTTCTTTTTTCTTTTTTAGTAAATGTCACAGGGAAGGGGGTTTTAAGCCCATTGCTCCCCCGGGATTTTAGTCGCTCATACACACGCAGGCTTACGGAGGAAAGATTTTTTCCACTTCCCCCCTGGCAATAAGGAAAAAAGAGGAAAAGAGCTATTTAAAAAAAAAGAAAAACCTAGATTAGTTATATAAATCAGTCGTGTCGTGAAGTGTGCCAAAGTGTAAGTAGGAGTAGCAAGATATCCCTGTTATCTAGCGTGTTTTATGAGACAGAAATAGAAACCGGGCAATCCTACCATCATTCAAACAGTTACAGGTTTCTGTTTCACAGTCATCTGGCATGAGGGTAGTACTTCCCTGGGTGGTTGCTGCCTACCAACCTACTACCTATATATATATATATATATTTTATATATATATATTATATATTTTATATAAAATATAATTAATATATAAAATATATATATATATTTATATATATATATATTATATATATTATATATATATATATATATATAAAATATATATATATATATATATATATATATATATATATATATATATATATATATATATATATATATGTATGTATGTATGTATGTATTCCTAACTTTATTCTATTATGCTCTAATTATCCATTATAAATTAATATATTCTTTTTAAATATAGGTTACTTTTTCGGTGGAGTCCTTAACGTGTGTGGGGATGTCCCTGGCCAGTTGCCCCTGTTATCGCCCTTTAAATCCGGCTCTTCATGTATTTTTCCCGGTGAACTTGAAACTCCTGTTTAGTTCTTCATATGTCTCTGTTCTTACGTTTTACCTCTCTTCCTTCATTCTTAAAGTGCCAAGAAAAACTTGGTCATGGTAAAAAGTCAGGGAATCTCTACTGAATTTAGGTTAATTAAAACAATGTTAATCAAATCTGAAGCTCCCATAGCTTCCTGACACTTAGTGCAAAGCTTGGAAGTATTCTCATTGCCCTACTGAAGTCACCCATCTCAGGTTGGAAGACTTTAGTACTTGACGTAAGATATCCCGTTTGACAGAATAAGACAGGGAAATATATCTAGATTTTGTTTTCACTGTGTATCATAAATAATAGGCTATCAGCAAGATCAACGTGGCGTACTGCTAACAATAGGAAAGGCACGCTGTAGATCAAGCGTTTGTGTTGGTCTTTATCAAGGCTTGATAAAGGTCTACACAGAGAAAAACGTTGTCGCAATGTAAGGTTTTTCTATACCATGTGTTTTCTTTTACAGTGTAGCTGTATGCTGAAGCGTTCAGTTTTGTTTAATAAAAAAACAAGAGACTTACCACAGCCACAGCAGCAGAGGAGAGCATCTGGCTGGGTGTGAGCACGGCGAAGTAGGCGATGTTGGTGAGGACATATATCACTGTGACGCTGGTGAGCGAGATAGCAATGGCCCTCGGCACGTTCCTGTTACCGGAAGGGCGAAACATCAACTAGGATGAAATGGCATATTGCCGTGAATTGGCCCTCGGCACGTTCCTGTTACCGGAAGGGCGAAACATCAACTAGGATGAAATGGCATATTGCCGTGAATTGTGAAAACTGTGACACATGTTTCAGAATAAACTTGTGTTAGGTATCTCCTCAAAATAGGATGTAAACTTAGGTCATTTAATCCAAAACAGAACTATAAGATTTCGATATTAAAAGTGGCAAAATGAGGCCATCTCCCAGAAACAATAAGGAAGAGGCATTCTAAGGTTATTGATGTCTATATAAAATTGAATAGATGGAGCCTGCACTTGCAAAGTGCAGGATGGAAAATTTGAAGCTAATCACTTATGGTGTTATGAAGTTAAAATCAAAAGCCTTGGAGAAAATTATTGGACGTTAAGAACACAGTACTGAAAAATATGACCGACTCTCTAATAGAGTCTCAAGAAAATGTAGTATTTAAGATTTAATAAACTCAAAAACACGAGTGTTTTATTGCTTATTTTTAAAGAAGTAAAACAGAATGTAATTTTTCCTGTAAAACTGGCATCTACACACACTGCCTGATTTAGATGAAGAGAGGCCCTAGGCTATTCCACTTGTGAGGCGCCTCACAGTCCCCCAGCCTCACCACTAGAAGATGATGGAAGAGTGTTTTAAAGAAAATTCAGTGAAGCCGAGGATGATGACGGGTACACAAATAACCCGCACATAAAAGAGAGAAGCTTACGACGACGTTTCGGTCCGACTTGGACCATTGACAAAGTCAATGTGACTTTGTCAATGGTCCCAGCCGGACCGAAACGTCGTCGTAAGCTTCTCTCTTTTATGCGCGGGTTATTTGTGTATCGTTCCAGTCACGGTATTGTGCCTTTTTGTTATTTATTAATGATGACGGGTGTTTAAAATTCCGCAATTCACAATTCCTCCTCTAAAGAATATAAGATGTTACTGTTAAATACCGTAGTGACTTAGTAAAACATAAATGTTAAATATTAACACTGTGAAAAACTTTTGCAATAACCTAACTTTGTAAAACATTTTGTGGAAAAAGCACGATTATTTTTGAGAAAATTAAATTGAAAGTTTACTGTTTATTGTTTAAAATATATATATTGTTTTAAAAACGTATTAAGAAATGCACTAAGAATTCAAAAAAAGTTTTTTCCTAGCCTTCCTCATAGAAAATCATTAAAAAGTTCTTCAAAATTTGTTTGTCTAAGTTTGCCACTTTCAGTTTTGGCACTTCTTAGGTCGTTACTGTCGGTGCCGTAATACAGTCCCTGAACATCGAGAAGGAAACCAAACTTGGCGCCAGTATCCTGCAAATGAGGGAACCTTTCTTCCATTTCTCTGTGATGGTGGTCCAATGTTCCCTTCATGATTCTTTCCATTTCCTCCTTTGTTGTTAACCCAACGTCTCTTGAGTTCTCATCAGCCATTCTCTTCTTTCGTCTCTGACGTCTTTCAACTTTAATATTCAATTCTTGACAGAGACCAAGTCTTTCGAGTGACTCACTGACCAACACCTCTCTTTCATCATCAAGGTGAACTCGGAGGGATTTCAAATCAGAATGAATAAGGATGTATGTTTTATGCATCCTTATTCAAAAAGTAGAAGAAAAAATTAAACTGGATTATAAATCTTAAAAAGAAACCTCATACTGCAACCTCCTTGATATTTTTGGGTTGGGGTAAACCGCCCCCGATAACTGAAACTGCAGAAACCAAATCTGGGGAAACGGGGATTCTACTATACTGTGAATTACTAAGCTAATAACGCGAATTAGTTTTGGGATTCGTATGTGTAAATTTGTCAATTTTATCTACCAAATAAGGATATGGAAACTGGACAGGCACCTCAAGTCACTACCTGACCAGTCGGTCTCTGATTTGTATGACGGTTTGCATGCGGCTAACAGCAACAGCCTGGTTGATCAGGCCCTGATTCACTGCAAGGCCTGTTCATGGACCGGGTCACAGGGGGTTTGAGCCCTCCCTATGAAACATCCTCCAGGTATACTCCAGGTAACAGTTTTCAGGAACGTGCGTTTTATGACGTGGTGGATCTAGTTATATAATTTGTTAAAAGGTATTGATACACCATCATGAACACATCTCTATTTTTAACTGACAATAGATATATACAAAATTAAGTAACAAATAATAATTACAAATATTGAAGCATTTAACTCAAAAATATGCAATAATTAAAAAGCATAATTAAAACATTTTTATTTCAAACGTTGGGAGTGACAATGTATAAGAAAATAGGAGAACATACCTTACTGGGTCTTTAACTTCCTCTAAGATCACGTTGGTGCCTCCCCTGAAACATTAATTTATTGA